CACATTTACCTCTGCGACCGGTATCTTGTCATCGATGGAGGAAAATCCGACTCCGATCATCACCACCCCAGACACCTGCAGAGAGATAAAGACATGAAACGTCTTCTGAGGAAGTGTGTTTTCAGAGGAGGACGTCTTTAACAGCAGCAGCAGCACAAACATTCCTCTCAGACTCTTCTTCTTCTTCCCCAGAGAGACGATCATCAGAATCCCATCAGCTGGGAGCAGTGACAAACAGAAAAACCCTCGACGTTCCCTCGACGTTCTCACTCTGTGGCGGCGGTTTCACCAAACGTTCTCACAGCGTTATCTTTTCCTGAATCTGCACAGTTTAGCAGCTGCTGTGAAACGCAACAGCAAACGAAAACACGGATAAGATCGAGTTTTGAGTTAAAAGCAACACAGGCGTGGATGGGATGCTAAATGGGCCTGCCGGGCACCGGTCCAGGACCAGAGGGTCCACGGAGGCCAGAGAGTTCCTGGATCAGAGCCACAGAAATACCCAGAGCAACCACAAACTCAAAATAACTACAAAGACACGCAAAAATGCACCGAGGCACAACAAAATGACCACGAAGCAATAGAAAGTGAACACAAAATGACATACAACAATCGAAATACGACAACAAAGTGATACGACATCCAGGTTATTAAACAAAACTATTGCAAAAGGACCAACAACAAACTAAACAACCACACAAAATACCCACAAAGTGATACAAACAAGTACAAATAAACCACAATGTCATACAAAAACAACCACAAATGGCAGCAAAAGTGACCAAAAAGTACACAAAAATCACCACAAAACACCATCAAACAACCACAGAGGACAAAGAATGACCACAGGAACCACAAAATGATCACAAAAGATGACGACGAACAAATAAAAGAGCCAGAAAATGATGCAAATGAACCAAAATGAGACACAAAATAAGCAGAAAAGAAACACAAAGCGATGCAAAATGACCACAAAGTTAGAAAATGACACAAATTGACCATAAAGTAACACAAAATGTGATGAGAAGGAGCCTCAGAATGACTCCAAAGTGACACAGAATGATCACAAAATGAACACAACTCAGTGAGAAGTGCAACACAAACACGGTGTTTGAACAAAATGCTCCATATAAGCGATGTGACGGAAACAAGCTGCTCAGACGTTGCTGATGTTGACACAGTAGCGAGAGCTGAACAGGGCTGATCCTGAACACCCAATAATCTCTGCAATCAGCTGATCGAGTGTAAACAACAGCAGCCGAGCAGCATAAACACGAGTCTGGCTGCTTCTGAGCACGAAGGCTGGAAACGATTCCACGATTAACAACAAGTGGCTTCTGTAACTGTGCATGAAAGTAAATGTGCTAAACTTAGAGATAAGTGTTATTTTATTTTGAGAATTTGTGCATTTACAGCTGATTTACTTTGAGTGTTTCAAACAGCAGGATGAGAAATACAAACAAGAGGAAATGAGGAACATTACCCAGGAATTACAAACATGTTAGCGCTTGTTTCGCTGCTCATTTTTGAACACAAACACATAAATCACAGTAAAATAAAACTGGATTTACAAATTCACCTCACAGGTCTAAATATTCAGGGTAAGGCCCGACAATATAACACAAAATACAAATTCACCTGATTTACTGGAGTTAAATGTTCAGGTTTAAACTTGTTCGTATTTCATGCCGTTACAAAAACCCGAGTGATTTAGATGAATAACTGAGGTTTAGACTTTACAAAATTATGCAAGAAAAAGTCAATAAATCCAAAGATTCTCTGTGAGCAGGAAAAGGCAACATAAAGCCTCTTAATGACTCCAACATATACAGATTTATAGAGGATCTAAAATTGTTCCCTGAGGAACTCCACAGGTTGTTCATAGGAAAATACCAAAAAGTGATAAAAACAAAATGATCACAAAGTGGCGTCAAATGACCGATTTGTGGCAAAAGTGTCTTAAAACAACCACAGAGTGACACAAAGTGACCACAATGTGATATAAAATGAGCACAAGGTGACGGCAAATAATCAAAATGTGAAGAAAAACAACCTTAAAGTCACAAAGTAATAAAATAAGCAGGAAAAAAAAACAACAAAAAGATACAAAATGAGAACAAAGACATGTGAAATCACCAAAATGTAAAGAAAAACGGCCCCAAAACGACCACAAAATGATTAACAACCACCAAGTGATACAATAAGTGACATAAACCAAAAACAAATGGAAACAAAATGACAGAAAACAACAAAAAAGTTACAACAATAACACTAAACAATTCTCAGTGAGGATAAAACATTTATAAAACACCCACAGAGAGACACAACCTGATGAAACAACCCGGAAAAGACACAAAATAATCACAAAATGAGCACAAAGTGACACAAAATCACCAAAAGTGTGAAAAAAAAACAGCCTCAAAACTGACAACAGAGTGGCGGAAAATGACATAAAACAACCACAAAATGATCAAAAAGTGATAAAAACAACCACAGAAAACACGAATCAACCACAAAATGACAGAAAATGACCAAAAAAATGAATATCAACCTCAAAATCAGTAAAAAGGGCACAAAACAATCATGAATGAGAACAAAACTACCAGAAAAGTGACAGAAAATGACAATAAAATTATACTAAATGACTCACAAAGGGACCAAAAATTAACAGAACCTTTAAATTAGCCAACAACATGATAAGACGACGACAAAGAGACGCAAAACGACAACACAGAGATCTGAACCAGACAGACCAGATATTTATAACTAAACACAGACTCAACTCAGTGAAAGTGATAATTAACAAACTTTAACAGAACCAAGGTGTTTTCACAGACAGATGACGGACGGTGACGAAACCAGAACAAGTTGCTCAGACGTTTCCTGGTTTTCCCTGAATCCTGACAACAGCCCACAAGTGAAAGTCTCCTGTGATTTGCTGATAACCACGCGCCGTTAGCGGTTAGCGGTTAGCTTACCAGCAGCAGCACGGTGACCCAGACGGCGAGACCTCGCAAGTAGCTGCTGCAGCGAGCCATGACCGGAGCCAAAATAGAAAGTGAGGGAAGTCCAGAGCCGAGTGCGTCGCTGTGTGTGATGGATGTTGTTTAAAGCTCTGGAGTGTTTGACATCAGAACCGAGAACATGACCAAGTTAGGAAGATCAGCTGGGAGCCGGGAGAGGAGAGGGGGAGGACGGGGGAGGGAAGGGGAGGCTAGTCCAGGTAGCAACCATGTCTGATTAGGAAGAGGTAAACAAAACAGGAAGGAGAAAATGAAAGTGGCAGGATGGAACCAGGAAGTGTGACGGAGGAGCGTCTTGAAAGGTCCCACATGGTTAAAATAATGTTTTTACTGTGTTTTGTCTTTGTTTTAAACTTAAACGCTGTTAAAATGAGAACAAGTGTCCATTACTAAGAATTACGCCCGAGGAACCAAGAGTCACCCAGGTTCGTGAAGCCCCACCCCCTCACTGCTTCCAGGTGAACCAATCAGAATATGTATGAAATGCAAACTAAAATACGACCACAGGGGGAAAAAGCAACCGGAAACCACAAAATGGGCACAAAGCGACGACACAAGTCGATGTAAAACGACTACAAAATGATAAAATAACTACAAACGACAAACTGACGCTAAATTAGCATCAAGGTAAGAAAATGTGATGATAAACAACCACAAAATCAACACAGCGATACAAAATGAGCAAAAAGTGATGCAAAACCACCAAAATGTGAAGAAAACCGGCACCAAAACGATGCAAAATGACATAAAACCAACAAAAAATGGCCGCAAAGTGATCAAATATTCTGAAAACTATACAAATAAACCACAAAGTGACAGATTTTAGGAACTCTCTGCAGCTGCTTTTAACTCTAAAATGTCTCCAATACTCACCAAATGTTCTGCTGCAAGAGTGAACGCAACAGTCTTCCTGCACTGACAGCATCTAAGGAATTTAGCGTTAGCATGCTGTGAGGCTAGTGTGGCTAACGTTAGCTTTGATGTAGAAATATAGAACCTAAATCCAGTAAACATGAGGTGCAGTTAGACCATTTCAGGGAAAAAAAACATCTCTTTAACCCAATCAGAATCAAGTTGGGCGGGGCTAAAAGCAGGACGCTACAATGGTGTCCACGCCCAATGATGCTACGGGAACTGTTTTGGTGCAACGTTTAGATTTAGGAAGGCTGCCATTAAGACGGATAATTAACCAAACAGAAACATGGCAGGGCTTCCTTACTGTGTAAAGTTCTAGCGTGCAGGTTGTTGGTGTTGTTTACCAGAGCGACGTGAAGTTTTAAAATGCTAACTCGACATGAGCGACCAATGGCAGGCTTCTACCCACAGTCAACGCTTTGGGGAGTCAGAATAACAGAACCGAAACTCAACCATAAAACAACTTAAATGCATGTTTCCCCTCTTTTAGTTCCAGATAACTCTCTTTCAGAAAAAAATCCCACAACAAAGACTGAAGTTGGATGTATCTTTCCTCCTCTTTCCGTCATTCGCTTCATATCTCTGGGGTTTTTCCTGCAGCTCGAGTACAACGGAAAGGAATCCAGTAGCGTCATTAAGCAGAGCGCCGTGTTGACTTTAGGCTAAAAATAACCGAAGGGGACGGACCGGCTCAGTGTTTATGTCCAAACCTTGGTGTGTTAGAGACAGACGCTCATAAACAGAGTCCGGCCGGCTTCCCATCAGATCCTCAAAGCGTTATCAGGAGCCGTCTGTAGCCTCGTTAGCTAACGGTGATAAACGAACCCATCCGTCGCTGTCGGCTCGGCTCGGCGTAAGCATCCATCACGGCGGCCTGATAAAAGGAGGAAATCTTGTTTTTATTGATGCAATGAGGCTTTGACACTTTTATACTGCGGTGTGAAGGTTTCGGCCTCCGGGGGGCGCTGTGGGGACGTCAGACAGGAGACGTGTTTCCATGTAGTACTTTTTAAATGCCGCAAAAAATGTAGGTTTGTTCCAAGCAGCTGCTTTATGAACGTGGTTTTCATCAAACGGTGGCGATTTAAGACAGATTATATAAATAACTGATTTCAAAAATAAATCCGGACGCAACATCAGCTGAAGAAAGGAAACAAAACTTTGTCCATCTATGAGAGAAAACTGGAGAAAAGTCTTCAAAAGTCTGTTTTCAATGTGGACAGTTGTGTTGATTCTTTACTTTTTGACGTTCGGAGACGAAGACGACGTTGACAACTTTAAAACTGAACCTTTCTGTCTTCATCGACTTCAAAAAGTGCTTAAAAACACGTTATGGAAACGTTGCTGTGAGGTTCATTTGGAGACGTTTGCATGGAGGAAACGACCTTCTAGAAGAATCGGTTCTACAGTCGGATTAAACGACAACGAACACTCGGGATGCACCAACTGTAGTTTAAACACCATGTTTGTCTAAATCAGCCTCATGTGTTGTCATCAGTTGGTTAAATGTTGACCAAAGACTGGATTCTAGTAGAAACATGGATCCATCCACAGACAGACACTGACAGGAACTTTATAGAAACACAAAACCACAGAATTTTGCACTTTTTCCATTTTCAAGGACCAGTGTTTGCATCATTTTGGACCCATTTTGAGTCGTTTCAGACCAGTTTTAGGTGATTCTGGACAGGTTTCAAGTCAAAACAGCAACAAACTCCAAAGCTTTCCTGCCAAACGTTAAATCCTGCCGATGTTGGAGCCTCAACAGCTGGTGAAACGTCCACCAAAGACTGGATCCATCCATAGATAGACACTCATAGGAACCACAAGACCAGCACTTTTTCTTCCATCTTCAAGGCGTAATAATTAAAAACGTGTCCTCTGCTGGATCCATTCAATCATTCTGATCTGCTGGGAACTGTTCAGTCTGAGTTCTCATCAGATTTCATGTCTGTTGGAGTTTTATTTCTGGAGATATCGAACCCTGAAAATGGCTCCAAGTTGGTTTTTGAGGGCGAACATACAAACATTCCCAAGTCTGAAGACACTGAGCCATTTAATACAATACAGAACTTAGCTTTGGGTCTCAAATAAGTAAAATCTGAACAGTTCTGACAGATCTGTGCCTCTTTAGGGGACAGTTAAGAAGAGTTTTGGGGGAAAGTTTCAGAAAATCGAGCTCAAAAACACTTCGAAGCAGCTGAAGCGAGGTTCTGTTTGGTTCTTCACAAGATTATTTATCTTCAGCGAGGACTGAAGTTCAGTCATCCAGAAATCCGACTTCTCTTCTCGCTCTGCGGTGCGGCGACGATGAACTCGAGCCACTTGAGACTTTGTTCCTGTAATAAAAGACGAGTTTCTGGAACCAGAACCGGGTTCTGGCATTTCTCAAACCAGGATTCCTCGATCTGACGGACGGACGGAGCGTCGTCCTTTACTGTGTTTGGACAGCGGGGACGGCCGCAAAACATCTTCAAACGGCGGCCTGCAGACGCTCAGCCGGCGTCTCGCGTCGACGACAGACATCCACCGATGTGTCAGACCAAAACGTGGCCCGCGGCCCCTCCAAGGGTCTCCAGGGTGACGATAATCGGTCCCAAAAAAAAGTCTTAATTCTGGAAAAAATGCAGCAAATTTGTAGGAAATTAAGAGAAACATGAACACAAACTACCTGGGAATCACATGACTGAAGTGATTTTATTACGAGAATACGATATGGAAGCCCATTCATGACGGAAAGCTAAAAGAAATCTCAACTTGCTAATAATTATGGGACACTTATTTCAAGTCCTCATGAACAGATTCCTCTTTTCCTTTATTTTATTTTTCTTTAAGTGAATCACGAGATAAAAGTGTTGCAAGAACTTTTGTATGAATTTCCCCAAAAAATACACAAAAAAATAAAAAATAAAAACACGTTTCCAACCGGCGCAAAAACAATAAAATCAGCAACAAGAAACAGAAGTTTTGCTTGAAAATTTCGAACCAAAATAATAATGGTGGAGTGTCAAATTAAAAGCCTATTGTGTCATAGTGATAATATGGTTTAGGTGTCTTTTATTTTGAAAGGCATACAGACGGAAGTACGTAACAGGATCACACCGCGACTTTAACTCCCTGAGGATTAATTTAAAATATTTTCCACAAAACAAAAATAAAATAAAATTTTAAAAAATGGCAGCAGACGTTGACATAAAAGTATGGAAGCCCATTCGTGCCTCGAAACATATGACTATGCTACCTATGACTTCATATTTCCTTGTGCTAATTAAATACTAAAAAAGTACATGAAGAATCAAACAGTTGAGATTTGTGAATGAGCAAAATAATTCCAGAATTTGTCAAGATTATGAGAAAATATTTTAATGAGTACGTATACATGTATATATTGGCAGTAATGGGCTTCCGTAAGTGACGATTGTTTCCGTGGATTTTGTTCCTTCGGGCCACAGTTTGAACGGCAACGCAGACGAGGCGGGTTTTGTTGTTTGACAGCTTTGCTTTGACATGTTTGGTAAAATGCCCAGAAAATTCAAATAAAGTCGAAGGAACATTCGGATATTTTGGGAAATTATTTTACGGAAACCGATTCCGTCACAAATCATCAACTTCTGCTGGACCGTCTCTGATTCGCCTGAAATGTTCACAGCATAAAACATAAACATTTATAAAGATATCTGTGAAAATTTAGATTCATGTGTCGAATAATTTATGAGATTTTTACTTTTTAACGCCCATCAACCGACTTCCTGCAGGTTTTTTTCTCACACTTGAGGCTCTTTGAACAACAACATCTGAGGAACTATTGAAGATAAAAAACTGAAATGTTCACAGTTGTTTCTCATCACGCCATTAATTCAGAACCTGTAATATCAGACGAATACATCAAATAATCTCTGATTGTGGTTGAGTTGAAATACGAAGAAAAAAAACCCTTAAAGCCGACATGAAAAGTTCCATCTTTGAGCTCAAATAAGCAAAAAAACAATAATACAGACGT